CCAAGGGAGTGTCTCGAATGTCACATGCGGGTTCCCTTCCTCCTTGCTTCGGCCTTTCGTTGCCTGGACGCCTCTTTGGGATCCTCTTCCTCTTGTCCGGGGAAACTCCTCCGTCTCCCTCCTCCCCCTCCTCCTCCTCCTACTACTCTTCCTTCCCATTCGATCGTTTTCTTTTTCTTTCTCTCGAACGCGTGTTTTTAATCCTCGTTTTTATTTTCGTGCATGTTCTTCAACCCTCTGCTTGTTGTCCGGCTGGTCCTCTTATTGATGGTGGGGGGAAGGGTTGATTTATCGGAACACGGAAAGTTTCATGCGCTTTTCGACGGCTCGTTGGAAAGATAGCCTTTATTGGATTATGGCGGATATTTGTCGTTGGGATGTGAGGATATGATTTGTGGATCCATTGATACAGATTTCTATTGTATCTCCTTCGATATATATGTATATTTTTTTCGTGGGTATTATTCTGCAAATTTTTTGAAACGATTATATCTGAATCTTACGTTAATATTACATATTATGTATATTTTATTTCTGAATATTCAATATAATAATTTTTTACCAACCGTGATTAAATCATTTACAACGATGAGGTTATGTTTGAAAAATAGATAAGATTTAATATTAGATGTAATATTTCTGGGAGCCCATCTAAGTTTGAATATTCGTATAAAAATAATAGAAATTCCAATATTTTTAAAAATTTTACGAATCGAGTCTTTTCTCTGAAAAAAATTTTTATTATTTCTTAACATTACAAACTGAAATAATAAATATGGTTAAATTAAAAGTTCCATTAAGCGATATTTTACCTATACCAAGATCACGTGTATATAATAATCCACCGGGAAAATATTTCAATATTTTTCGCCGATGAAAGTCAACTATATTATCGTCCAGTTAAAATTTACCGCTAGCGATTTTGCACCTCGCGTACGTTCAATTATGTGAGCATTTTACGCGCTGCATGTTTTATCGATTCGCGCCATCGATAAAACAACGATGCCGTCTCGAATTTATGGAATTCCTTCTGCGCGCGCAGCTGCGCAATCATTTCGAGAGCACCGCGATTGTCGATATTTCTTGCGATTTATGCCGCGGAACGGATCGATCTCGTTCGACCTCGACGAAATGAATACGTTAACGAAGTCGTTTCCTTCTAGCAACGTTAAAGAACGAATTTTAAAACGTCGGTATTATTCGACATCGCTTCCGTTTTCCAGACAACATGGGGAGATTCTCAAGTGCTTTAAGAGAGATTTACAAGTGGTTCGAGTGAGATTTCCAAGTAACTCGAGTTTGTTTTAGTTTCGAGAGAATTTTTGAAATATCTCGAAACTATGCTCGAATTCTTGAATTGCATTGTAAAAGTGATTATCCGTTGTTATCATTATAGTTTACGATTATTTCGATTAAATTTTTAAAAAACAAAATTTTATCTAAAAAAAAAATACTTCACGCTTCAAAAATACTTGTATCTATCAGGTAAGCACAATTTCACGCGAAAAAAGATACACGCGGAAAAAGAATCGAAGAGGAAAGATAATTCGATCCGAAACTTCTTGCTCAAAGTTTCGCACGAGACGTATCGGATACGTGACAAATTGCAAGTATCTATAAGGAAGTTCATACGGCGTCAGTGATCGATCGAGAGTTGAACGATTTCGAAGCAGGAGCCCCTCGTGGACGCAAAACCGATGCGATACGCGATGAAAGTGGCCGATGAAACGAGGTCGAGGTACGATGTCCCGGGGCGGATCGATGCAAGGGGATAAATCGATTTGGGACACGGACGCGGCCGACTCGATTTCGTTTCTGGTCGCGTATACGTTGGTCGCGCGCAGCCTCCTCGAATTCCGATCACGCGGCCGCGACCACCACGCGTAAAAAAGCCTTAATGCGCATGCCCAACCGCGGACAAACTTCACAAGAACCGTACCACGCGTCGTATCACGAATCACAATTGCCTCGCTACGTAGGGATGGGTTAACTTTTAAAATTCGAAAATTTCACCGATTCAAATTTGCTCGTTTTTCCGATTTCCTCTAAAATTTTTCGAAATTGAAAAAATTCTTTTTTTTATAAATTCAATTTGATGGAATTTTACATAAGTGTTGTAAAAATTATCGTAAATATTAAATATTTAGAACACTCTAGCCCCGAACAAGTCTTAAGAATTCTTTTTGATCGGACAAATTTCGAGCAAGAGTACTCGCGCGAAAGGTATCGCGAATGGGTTGGGTCCGGCTGCCGTTCGTCCATTGTTGCTCGTTCTCCATAGAATTTTAGATCGGTAACGACGATACCGATGATTTATAGGTGGAAGCGTATCTCGGTATTCCGCTCGTGGCCGGTGAAAGGATCAGCGAGCCGGTTGACGAGGAGCGTGCGGCATTTCAGGTTGTCTTATCGCGTTTCAACCAGGGTTAACCGTGTACATACACCGATACCTCGTATCGCTTCGTTCAAATAACGTGACCGTTCTCTGGAAATCTTCGCGATCGTGTGTGCACG